TTCAAAGGAAAAAAGAAATACATATTGTGTTTGTGTTTGTGTTTGTGTATGTTTGGAAGTTCATGGGTCTAATTCGATTTCAACAATAGTTTGGTAAATTGGAGGTGTTTTTTTTTAAATCTGTAAAATAAAAAAAAATATCGATGAATAAATTTATTGGAGGTCATATTGAACAAAAAAACAATTTGCGACAAATAGAATGCATCACCAATTCTTCTTAATGCGTACAGACTAACAGCGTCCAGGGTGTGTTTCATTGGGATAGGATATCAATTATCAATACCTCTTCAAAAAACCCAAAAAAAATAAAAATAAATGAAAGAAAGAAATAATAAAAGGTGATAATAATTAGCATTCATAAATCCACGCTCAAAAACCTTTTCCCCTTCACTCATTCGTATGTAACAATTGTATGAGATTCTATTAGAATTGTAAATAATTAACAATATATATATATATATATATATATTATATTTTTTCGAGAAATGAATTGGAGGAAAACTCTTGAATTCTCTCCTTCTTAATAGCGCACTCTCTGAAGAAAAAAAAAATCTCATGTTTCTAATTTGGCAATTATATTATGGTTATTAAGATATTGTATGGTTTAAATAAATAACATTTCTTATATTTTTTACAAACGTATTTTATTGCTACAGTTTAAAAGCTGATCAGCTGGCTCAACAAAGTACTAAAAGGTGAGCCACGGACGCCAAAATCTTTCAAATTATTCAGACACATCTGACAATATTAATATATAATACACAACAAAATGGAAAGCGTTTTCTTTTACTACTATCACACTGCAAACATTTCAACTAAAGACTAAAATAATTCCCAACACTATGTTTTCAATAATATTAATTTTTCCTCAACAACATATATCGTCGTGAAGAATTAAAGATAGAAGAACACAAACCTAAACTCATTTTAGGCTGACAAAACCATGAACCACTTCAAAACCATTTTTATTACACACTTGAATTAGGGAATCACTTAGTTTTATTTTATTCTTCTTACCCTTGCAAATGTGACTAAAGATTTTATGCAGCAAAACTACAAACAAAAGAGAAAAAACTTATTTGATTGGAATTTACATGTGTAGCCTTCTAAGTATGTTACTATTGGAGAGTTTCATGAAATGTTCCAAGATAGAGGGGCAAAGTTGTCCCTAAATCTACCCAATGTGGGGAGTTTCAGGAGAAGTTGCAAGACAAAGGGGACAAAAGAAGAAACAAGGAAAATGGCTACAATCTTCTCCTGAAGTCCTCACATTCCAAGCTTGAAGTTTAATTCCCTAAAGTATATACCACAAATGGATCCGAATCTTCCATTGTATGAGGACAAAACAACCCAATTTAGTCTTCTCTCGCTATGTAACGTATGAAGTCAGTCACCTTATCGATGGATTAATTAAATGGAGTTGGTTTCTCTCCGATATGTGATCGGATTAAAGGGTATTATTAGATTTGTGAGGTTCATTACGGGTTCTATTTTGATAATCTTAATCATTCAATATGTAGAACTCGTCGAGTATTATATGTCTGTAAAAAATCGTATTGATTGGATATCGATAGTTATGTTATCAAATCAGTTTTGTATTAAAAAAAATGGACGGTAAAAAAATAAACGATTGTCTGAAATCTGATCCGATGAGATAGCTACCGATATCCGATCAACGTGATTTTTTTACAGACATATAATACTCAACAAGTTCTACATATTGAACAGTTCAGATTATCAAAACGAGAACCATTTATTTTTTTGACTCATTGAATAGAATAGTATTGTAAAAAAAAAAGATGATTAGATATCGGTAATTATTTATTTGAATCATATTTATTTTTAAAAAATAGAGGACAAATATAATTCTTGACTCTATGTTACAAAATAAAATATTTTGAATTTAAGGTGATTGTATAGTATAAAAGCAAGTTTAATAACTCTAAGAGGTTGTTTGTGATGTTCTAAATAAGTGTACTTTTTGTCTTTTTGGACTAAAAAATTGAGGAAGAAAATATGAATGTTTGGGTTAACTTTTTGACTTTTTATAGAAAAATGTGTAATAAAAAATTGTAAAAATTGATTTGTAAGGAAAAATTAGGATTGGGAGTTGTGCAGCCGTAATTGTTGACTTTTGATGAATAGTATTAACTTTTTAACTTTTTGAGTAACTTTTTGACTTTTTGACTTTTTTGTAATATGTCAAACTTGACCTAAATCTCGGACATAAATCAAATTTAAGTTTAGATTCGAAAGTTTTTTCGGTGGCAAGTCAATAATAGAGATTGGAGAAGCAGTAATAATTAGCATGATGATGAACAATAAAAAAAATACAAGAAATCAAGAGCAAAAAAAACAGACAAGCGAACCAGGTTAACAAGTATAAAAAAAGAGAACAAGTAGAATGGGAGTTGATATTCTCCTTTTGAATTCTTTCCTTACCTCCCTATTTGTAATGGTGAATATGCATTTTGAATTGATTTAATGGTCCAAATTTAGGCGAGAAAAAATAAATTAAAATTTTTTTTTTTAATTTTTAAATAATCAAATATAAACTATTGAATCAACTTAAAATGCATCGCTACCGTTACGAGTAAAGAACTAAGGAGAAAGTTTAAGGAGTGAGCCTCACCTCCACAGAGAAAGGAGGGCTATCATTTTATCAAATTGATAGATTGAAAGAAAGATATAGAATTCATTTTATTTTTTTTAATTTTTTATATTCAAGTATAGAATTCATTTGACCGTACGAGATTAGCATTGAAAATGCCCCCCTCGCCTCAGCATATTATTTGCTTCTTTTTCAACTTTATCGGCTCCTTGTCACGCATATTCCACATGCCCCAGAATTATACCTTTCTTGTAATAAATGAACCAACACTCAAATCAAAATCATTTGGCTCGGCTCGACCCATCATTCGGCTTTCTTGGCAGCTAATTTGAGCCTCAATTGGTGGGAATGCTTTCAATAAATGTTAATCCATTACTGCATTTTAATATTAAACTGAGTAAATAATACAATTTATAAGGTATTAACATGGAAGATTAATGATAAAAGTGAAGTTTCATATGTATTAGAGTATTTCTATCAAATTAGTTAAACTTTTTACAAAATTTTAAATAAAAGCCTATTTTTGAATTTTTTTTTTTTACCTAGTCACAATTTAAATACAACGCATGACCAAAAAAAAAAAATTTCTATATTTCTATTTATTTATTAAAACTTTATACTTTGAAGTTTTTAATTTTTTTTCAATTGTAAATTCCGTATTCAAGAGATAGGAGTTGTAAAATCATTGCCCAGTATTTTACAATAATAATAGAATTACCATATTTATTTTATTATGTCTTGTTTATCTTTTCTTGCGTTGCAATTGTGCAATATTAATTTAATGAGTCCAACCGCTTACATTTCTAACAATTGGAAGTCTCATTAACAAGCTAATCGTAACAAGGGATTTGGGGTTCAATTAAAATAGTAAGTAGAAAGATAAGTTTGATGGAACATGTTTTTGTTTGATCTGCAAGATAGAATATTTAAAAGACGATTTTACTGTTGATAAGTAAGATATTCTGAGTGAAAAGTTGACGTGTTAGTATATAAAAATAATACTACTCAGATAAAGAGAGAGTGATTGTATTGGTTAATAAGATAAGTATCTAATGTAAAAATAGATCCAAGAATATGCATATAAGGAAAGTGAGCAGAATGTGCATATAACAAATACAGATAGTTGCAGAATATATAGAACAAATACAAGTTATTCAACATTAAAAATTCTAAATTCTAAATTTGAACTTGACATCTAAATTTTGAGTTAACGCAAAAATTTTCATTGAGTTTCGTACAGTTTTTTTTTTTTTTTTTTTTTAAATAGCTTTAAAAATGTATGAAATGGGAAAGATATAGTAAGAATACCATAGTTTCTAATTTTTTTCAATATATTTTATAAATAGCACCATAAAGTAGGTCATGATTGCCTTGTTTCCTAACATTTTTGTTCTAACAATGTTATGAAAATCTTTACTAGTGAACATTAGCACGATATTCTTCAAAGAATATTCCGAAACCAAAAAATATTTTAAGAATTAGTAAAAAAAACAAAATTTATAGACCAATTCGTTTGGGTAATTACACTAATTATTCATGATATTTACTTTATAACCATTTTAAGACAAATTTCAACCATTTTTAAAAATAAATAAATAAATAAATAAAATCAACCTAATGGCTCCACTGAAAGATATTAAAAAGCACCAATAATTTTTAAGAAAATATCACGTGTTGAAAAAGTTATTACAAATTAATAAAAAAAATTATTAATATTAATAGAATAAATTATATTTTATCCTTTTCATATTTGGTCACTTTTCAACTTTATTCCTTAAAATTTATTTTTTTTCACTTTAACCTTTCTTGTTTCAAATTTTTCACAATTGATTTCTAAAACTAATTTTTGTTAAAAATTCGACAAAAAATAACATATTGACAATCACGTGTCATACAAATATATTATATGTGACTCACACATATAACACAAGCTCAAATTTCAATATATAATATATTTTTTATAATTGTGACAAATGTCGTTATATTTTTTAACTAATTTAAAATAAAAATTAATTTTAAATAAAAATTGAAAAAAATTTGAAATATGAAAAAACAAAATAAGAAAAAAAAAACAAACTTTAAAGATTAAAGTCAAAAGCAACCATATAAACTTTTGTAATTTGTTTTTTTTTTTTTTTCAAATGTAATAATCCTATGATTTTTTGGTGGCTCCACACAGCCCACTTGCTCTGGCCTCACCAAGACCAGCTTCACTCCACTGCCACGTGGCTGCTCGAACTGTTCGAAATTGAACAATAATCAAATAATAATGTATAAAATAAAAAATAAATAAATAAATAAACTAAAAAAAGTCTCTCTCTGTCTGTCTCAAGCGGAATATAACCAAGAGATATACTCTTGCCATAGGAGAAGAAAGAATATTCGCGGTTGGATATTCTTCGCCCACAGACAGTTTATATCACTTCACCTCCCACCTTCCCTATTCTACCCTCTCCATTTTCTCACTCACCAAAATTCCTTTCACTTTCTCTCTCAATTTTCTTTTCCTTTTCCTTTCCAAATTTGAAACGATGAAGTTCGGGAAGAGTCTGAGCAACCAGATCGAGGAGACTTTGCCGGAGTGGAGAGACAAGTTTTTGTCCTACAAGGAGCTGAAGAAGCGGCTCAAGCTCATCGAGCCCAAAGGGGGAGACAATAGGCCTGCCAAGCGCCCTAGGTTGTCCTCTGCCGGAGATTGTACGGACTGCGGCGGCGGAGGGCCGGCCACCGAGATGACGAAAGAGGAGAATGATTTCATGGAGTTGCTGGAGGCGGAGCTCGAGAAATTCAACAGCTTCTTCGTCGAGAAAGAGGAAGAGTATATAATCAGATTAAAGGTTATTTTCTTTCTTTTTTTATTAAGTAATTCTAAATTAATTGGTGCTCTTTTTTCTTTTCTTTTCTTTTTTTTTTTTTTTAAGACAAACCCTGGGAGCGACGTCGTTATAGTGTTGAACAAAGAGGAAATATGTGTAATTTTGTAAAAATAATTATAAATTAGGGGAAAAAATTGTAAGTATTAATTATTAAAATTGTAAAATTTTTAATGAATTTGTAATTTTTCGATTTTTGGCATTCCTTTGTCGGCTGTTGCTAGTAAGATGATAGACTAGTGCTATAAACTGACATTAATTTTCTCCAATCCATTTAAATAACGGAGATAGCGGAGACTTGTGTGGCTTACAAGTGTTTTGATAGACTCGAACTATTAATGACAGTCTAATAAGTGGGGGCTTGTGGGCCCACAAGTATTTGATAGACGTGACATTAATGGTTTACAATGATTTAAATAAATATATTTTTTTAATTTTTTAAAAAAATATCTAAAAAAATAGATAATTGATATGATTTAAAAAAGAAGAAATGTTATGAATTAGGAATTTTTTTTTTTTATGAAATAATTATGAAAGATTTGTGATCTTTAAATTATTTTAATTAGTGTGTGATATTTTATTTTAAATATAATTCAAAAGTTACAAATCTTTTATGAAAGACTTTTTCAGGATACTTAACATTGTTGTTAAAAAAAAGATGAAAGATGCGTTTATATAGTATATTCCAAACAAGCTCTTATTGGTCACATCCAGGTGTATTTTCGTTGGTATAGAAAGTGGGATTTACAATTTTTTTTTGTGTAATTGAGGAATAAGGCTATGGTGATTACGTGATGCTTCAGTAGCACCAAATAATTTTATATAGCATATTCCAAACAAGCCCTTATTGGTCAAGGCGTCCCAGGTGTATTTTCGTTGGTATAGAAAGTGAGATTTACAAGTTTTTGTTGTGTAATTGAGGAATAAGGCTATGGTGATTACGTGATGCTTCAATAGCACCAAATAATTTTATATAGCATATTCCAAACAAGCCCTTATTGGTCACGGCCTTGTGCGTCCCAGGTGTATTTTCGTTGGTATAGAAAGTGGGATTTACAATTTTTTGTTGTGTAATTGAGGAATAAGGCTATGGTGATTACATGGTTGCTTCAGTAGCACCAAATAATTTTATATAGCATATTCCAAACAAGCCCTTATTGGTCACGGCCTTGTGCGTCCCAGGTGTATTTTCGTTGGTATAGAAAGTGAGATTTATAATTTTTTGTTGTGTAATTGAGGAATAAGGCTATGGTGATTATGTGATGCTTCAGTAGCACCAAATAATTTTATATAGTATATTCCAAACAAACCCTTATTGGTCACGGCCTTGTGCGTCCCAGGTGTATTTTCGTTGGTATAGAAAGTGGGATTTATAATTTTTTGTTGTGTAATTGAGGAATAAGGTTATGGTGATTACGTGATGCTTCAGTAGCACCAAATAATTTTATATAGCATATTCCAAACAAGCCCTTATTGGTCACAGCCTTGTGCGTCCCAGGTGAATTTTCGTTGATATAGAAAGTGGGATTTACAATTTTTTGTTGTGTAATTGAGGAATAAGACTGGTGATTACGTGGTGCTTCAGTAGCACCAAATAATTGTTTTGATAGACACAGTTAATGAGCGGTAGTTAAGGTTGGAATACATGTAAACAGCGTGTTGAAATAAATAAAAACTATATTCAAATTCAAATTATTTTTTTTTATCATTATTTGATCTGGACGAATTCAATTTAAAGTATTTATAATAGTTAGTACAATTCTAAATAAAAGTTGATTGCTAAGAAATTTATAGGTTTAGCCGATCAAAAAAAATTAAATAAATAAAAGAAATTTATAGGTGTAATGCTTTATTAATCAAATTAGCTTAAAACTCTCCTTAGTATTGCACGGTTAAGGTTATTCTTGTAACTTGATCTTCTCACATAATTTTATAATTATAAATTCTCGCATAATTCCATGACTTTGAATTCTGGTATGATTGAACAAACAATCCTGTTGCACTTGCACAATACACATTACTGAAGAAGTTTGTTTTAGCACGTGACTTCAACTACTACATCAATTGTAAAAAACTATTTGTATATCATTACTCATTCTAAAAGTGCCATATGCATATTTTCAGGAATGCACATCGTGCCGGTTGAGAAAAGTGTCAAATAGGACATTAGATTTTTGTTTAGGCGATTCTAGGCTTGGAATCTTTTGTCCCTATTGTCTGTTACAAATTATAATCCTATGTTCTAGTAAACCCATCTCGTTGTCATTATTTGAATTTAATGACGACTATTCATTTTTTAAATGATTAAGGAAATTTTTGAGTTTTTTTTCACTTAATTGTGGCGATGTGGAGCCATTAAAAAGGAGGGACATAAGATTGGGGAACCACCGTTCTGTGCCCTCTTTTCAATGTGCGGGTTGTACATGCAATTATGCATGCTTGTAGTTGTGATTTTAACATTTTGTCATGACATGGATGAAAATTAGAAGGAAATGTCTTCGATTTTGGTTATCTATGATTAATTGTTGTGATTTAATCGTCTTCTGAGCCTCTGCATGATGTGGGATTTTTGGGTTTAGATTTGAAAGTTGTTCTTATGAGGTGACACTTTGTTTTTTTTTTGTTTTTTTTGGGGTGTGGTTGGGGTATAGGACTTGCAAGATAGAGTTGCAAAGGCCAAAGATTGGAGTGAAGAGATGATAAAGATAAGGAAGGAGATTGTGGACTTCCATGGAGAGATGGTCTTGTTGGAGAATTACAGTGCCCTTAACTATACAGGTAACTTTCATTTTTTCTATTTTATGAAACTTTGATTTTTATTAATGAATATTCTAAGCCCGTTAGCTAACAATCGTTAAAGGTTTGTAATTCCTTGACTAGTAGGAGAATGTACTACAATGAGCTTGTTAAAGAGTGTTCTAATCTATTTACTAATAACAAACCTTTAACTATAAATAGTTACCGTCTCTTTCCATGTTTTTACATGAGCCCTTGTGGAGGTAAGAATTGATCTTCAAATGATGAATGGTGCCTCATGAATATACTGTGAAACTGGTTTGAAGAAGTCAAAAGCATGTAGGTTTTGATTGAAACTTGAATTTGTGCATGGTTTGTGAGAAACATTTAGCTGATATTGTATTGACTCTTTTCTCTCTAATGTTATCTGTACAAATTTAAGGTCAAAACACAACATTAAAGCAATAGATAGGGACCAATCTTAAGATACAAACACAAAATTAACGGGGATAGGACTAATATAGCTTTTAGCATGGTCCATTCTGTCTAAATTTCAGCTTAATTTGCATTTGGCTTGGAATTTTGGTTTAGGCAACTCTGTTATACAGACTGCTTGCAATTTGGATTGTGCTAGAATTGATCTTCAAATGATGGATGGTGCCTCATGAATATACTGTGAAACTGGTTTGAAGAAGTCAAAAGCATGTAGGTTTTGATTGGAACTTGAATATGTGCATGGCTTGTGAGAAACATTTAGGCAATATTGTATTGACTCTTTTCTCTCTAATGTTATCTGTACAAATTTAAGATCAAAACACAACATTAAAGCAATAGACAGTGACCAATCTAAGATCCAAAGACAAAATTATTGGGAATCGGACTAATATAGCTTTTGGCAAGGTCCATTCTGTCTAAATTTCAGCTTAATTTGCATTTGGCTTGGAATTTTGGTTTAGGCAACTCTGTTTTACAGACTGTTCCACCATTGGATTTTGAGAGTTCCCTTATGTAAGCTGCGTTCTTCACTGGTTCAAATTGATTAACTTTTTTACCTTTCTAATCTTAACAGGATTGGTGAAGATACTCAAGAAGTATGACAAAAGAACCGGTGCCCTTCTTCGCTCGCCTTTCATTCAAAAGGTCCTGCAACAGCCCTTTTTCACCACTGATTTGCTATATAAACTGGTAAAGGAGTGTGAGACACTGCTGGATCGCCTCTTCCCTGTAAATGAGCCCCCAACTTCAACCGAGGCAGCTGATGGGGATGAACCGTCAACTTCTGCCCATGCGACGAATGATGATCTCCCCAGAGTCCCCAAGGAACTTGCAGAGATTGAGTATATGGAGAGCTTATACATGAAGAGTACCATCTCTGCATTGCGGGTTTTGAAAGAAATTCGGAGTAAAAGCTCTACCGTGAGTGAGTTCTCGTTGCCACCGCTGCAGATTAGTGGATTAGAGGATACTTGCAACAAAATTCCTGTTGTAGGAAATAGTTAGATTTTGTGGAAAAAACCTAGAAAAATATATATCCATTCTGTATTTTTAATATAATTTTGTATTTTTTTTTTCTTTCTTTCTAATCATGCATGTATCAATGTGTATTGTTAGCTACTAACACTGATGTAAAATGCATAATATTCGTCCCAATAACTTCAATTATAGAATCATAAGTTTATTTATATGCTCTTCAATCTTCAACCTTTGTGTTTCTGATTAAGTCCCACGATGGGAGAGATCAGCTATGAAGTTCCGATATGGAATATAGATGTTGTGGATATGGCCTTTAATGTTTGAATTGGCTCTATTAATAGAGGTATATTGAGAGATTAAATTGAAATATTTTTATATATTAGAAATTAAATTGACATAATTCAAACATTAAGACTAAAATAATACAAGACTCATACTTTGTCAACAAAAAATGTGATTAATTTATATTGTAATATAATAAAACTAAAACAGGTATGATACTAAAATTGGTATATGCTATTGTGCCTGTTTGGTGCAGCTTAAAAGCTATTTATTTCAGCTTTCAGCTTAATTTAAGTTATTTTGATGTGTTTGGTTTAGCTTATAGTTTATACTTTATAGCTTTTTGGAAGTCAGAAATCAGCTTATTCTTTGAGTGGGGCAGGAGATGCTTAATTTATAAGTCAGAAATCAGCTTATGTTCATAGTTATAAGCTATAAACTGTTTAGGTATAAGCTATAAGCACTTTCCCATAGCTCTACCAAACATACCAATAACCTAAATAAGCAATATATTCTAAATAAGTAGGATACTGGTGGTGAGTTATAATTTAATTGAACACTTTCAATTAAATGTATTAACTCAAAATTATTTAAATCTGTTTGAAGTATTACTTAAAAAGTTAAATGATCTTAAAATATAGGCTAAAAATTAATACCAAGTGAATTTATAGATACGCTCATATAATATTAGTAAGTAGGATACTAACATACTACCATGTATGATACAAGAACATGTCAGTTCATTAAAATATTAAAAGGTTGGATGTTACATTAAATTATTATTATTTTTCTTTAAAAAATAAATAAAATATTTAAAAAAAATGTTCTTCTATTTATCTTAACAAAGTTTAATTATGACACCAACATCTCAGTTTATTAAATTATTAAAAAGTTGGATGTTACATTAAATTATTATTATTTCTTCTTTAAAAAATAAGCAAAATATAAAAATATATATATATATATGTATATATGTATATTGTTTATATCATAACAAAGTCTAATGTTATTGTGGATAGTGAAATTATCTCCACAGGAAAATAGTAAGATGATGTGCCCAATCCTCTCATCTGCAAGAGAAACCAAAGTTAGTGATCACCCCCAATCTAGGTATGTCAGGAGGACCTTTCGACAATCAAGTGAGTACATTGATCGGCATATGAAAATAGGAAATGACTATATTTAAGTGGATTTTTGGGTTACTTTGGTTTGTCCCTCTTGCTTTACCTAGCTCTCCTTTTATAGTTGATTGGTTCGTATCATGATCGTCCATTCCCTTTCTGATCGGATCGTCCATTCCCTTTCTGATCGGATGGTCTTTCTTTCATCATAGGTCACTTGTGCTAGGGGGCAAGTTGTCATTATCATAGACCATTGGATCTCTGTCCATTGGACGACTAAGATGGTGTCAGGCCATAGTGGCCAAGTTGTATTGAACACTGATCATTGGATGGAAACTAATCAGATGGTACTTTCCCTTGTCAGTGTCAGTCTAGGCCATAGCCCACTTACTGTGTCCCTTGTTCGTTGGATAAACATGGATAAATATGGATATGTCGGTCCTTGCTATTCCAAAAGATATTCTTCTAGAAGAATATATTTGCTTCTGAAGCAATATGGGTCTGACCTATTATCTTATCTGAGTTATATTCTTCCTTGGGCCTAATTAGTTTTGGGCTTATATCGGGCTTAGCTATATATTATAGGTTGGACCTAACCATGTATTCTTACCCTCCGTAATTGCCCTCCTTCAGTTGCCGATCTAAGGCCTCGTTTGAGAACAGGCTAATTTAGTAATTTTTTGGCTATTTGGCTAAAATATGAGCTAAAAAAAACTAGTATGTTTGGGATAACTTTTTGACTTTTTACGAAAAGATGTGCAAAAAGTAGAAAGAAAAAAAGAATCTTTGATGTTTTGGTATGGTTGTTGGTTTTTTTGGCTAATTTAGTAATTTTTTGACTTTTTGACTAAAAGTGAGGGTTCTCAAACGAGGCCTAAGTCTTCAATCGGAAGTCGAAGCAATTGAACTTAATCGACATCCCTCTGCCAACCTAAAGGTATTTCTTGCGGACATGCTTTTTTTTCTCGCTTAGTGGGCATAATAATGACATCAACTGTCACGTCGTCCTTTGTGCACCATTTCTTTACTAAGACCATCTCCAACCCTGAACCAAACCTGTCATCAAATTTAAAATTTAGTGAAAAAATCACTTTTTCATGCTCCAACAGTTTCACCAAACCGGTATCAAATTCAGAATTCATCAAACAAATCATCAAAGTGAGAACAGTATACAGATTTAACCAAAACACTGTGCGTGACCGTTGGAGGGAGGAACTGGTCAACCAGCCGATTGCCCGACCGGTTGACCAACCGGTCGACCTCTACGTCAAGGTTGGTTTGACCTGTCAAGTGGTTGGTTTGAATTGCTTGGTTTGAACCGTGGCCGTTGGGAGCAACCGGTCAACCGGCCAGTCAACCGGCTGGTTGACCCACCGGTCCACCGGATTGAGTCCTTCGGCTAGCATTTGAACTGGTATAGTTTTGAGGGTAGCATATGAACTGGTTGGTTTCATTTCATGTTGTTTGAGCTGGGTTATTTTGACATAGTTTACTTTGTGGATTATGAATAATTTAGAGGGTGATATAAATTTTAATTTTCTTCAAAATATAAATAAAATTGTTACCTTTTACATATATATTACAGAACTAGCCGTTACAATTATAAATTACCGTTGGATGGACAGACTATTTTGAAAATTTACCGTTGATGATGTGTTCTATAAAATTGATTTGATTTCGATATCAAGACAGTATTTCATTTTCAGAATATCAAGACAGAGTATTTCATTTTCAGAATATCAAGACAGAGTATTTCATTTTCAGAATAGCATTACGTTTATATGTTGTGAGTTTTGTTGCTTTTGTGTCAATACATATTTTTTTCTCTTGAAATTTTAATTATTAGTATCTCAATAAATTATCTGATTCTGAGTTTGAGCTTACATCATTATAATATTTTTCAGTAAGTGTACTGTATTTTTTTCAAAGTATGAAAGATTTTGAAATGTTTGGAGAATCACAAATGTTGGAGCAAAACACTGATATTAATTTTATGTCTTAATCTTCACGAGAGCAAAACAAGTAGATAGTGATAATCATTTTATTTTAGAAACTTCTCGTGTTTCTCATGGTAAAGCGTTCACAATTATAGAAGATGAAACTTTATGTAGATCTTGGTTAGCAGTCTCTCAAGATCCCATTACTGGTAATAGTCAGACTATGGCTATATTTTGGAAACGAGTACTGGTTTATTTTAATTCACAATTGAGCAGTGAATCAAATCGAAACCGTATTTCTTTGTCTCACCGTTGGACTGTCATGCAAAAGGCCATTAATAAATTCTGTGGTTTTCTTGAACAAATTCAACTGAGGCAACAAAGTGGAACAACTGAGGCAGATATGGTAAAATTTATTTGTGTTATTAAATATCAATTTTATTTTCTAAATATATACTTGTTATTGAAATCTTTATAATTTTTTATTTAGGTCACTGAAGCGAAGCGGATGTATCATGTAATACAGAAAAACACTTCACATTTGATACATGCTGGGATATTTTGAGCCGAAGTTGTAAGTGGGATGAATTTCGATCAAAAAGAACCACGCAACATGCTGATCCATGTTTCAATCTGCCAACTAAATTTGACGCTTCTCAATCCAACCAGAATAATGCGGTGCACGAACAACCATCTAACACATCAACACGACCAATTGGTACTAAGGCAGCGAAAGAGAAGCTAAAGAATCAAACAACGCATGATAGTAGATTTGATGAAATGGCTGCCAACCAATCTAAAATTGTTGAAGTGTTATCAAGTATCTCCGCTAGAACTATTGAGCGAGATGAACAAAAGGCGATAGACCGTGAGCAGAAGGCTGCAGAGCGTCGAAGAAGAGCCGAAGATAGGGAGGAACAACTAAAACTCCTATCCATGATGAATGAAAGAGAACAATGAAATGAAGATCATAAAATAATGTCAATGGACATGACAATTTTAAATCCTATGCAAAGGGCGTACTACGAAGATCTTCAACGACAGATTTTATTTCGATCAACTAGTAGATTGCCTTGAAAGGTTCTGTATTAGTGGGTTTCATCCATTAGTTTTATTATTTAAAATTATTACAACTAACTTGTATTGGTTAGTTTTATTGGTTTTATGAATTTTTGCCATGTATTTTTGCCATCTTTCAAGGTCAATGTCTAATTGTTGCCATGTTTTTTGAATAGGGAGATCTTTGGCTTGTACTTTAATGTCGTTTTTTTTTTTAATTAACGTCGTCTTCTTTAAAATCATATGTCAATGAATATGCCAATCAGTACTATAACCTGATTTATACCACAAAATCAGAAATGGTTAATGACCTTTTTTGTAGCATTTTCAGAATGTACATAATAATGTCCTTTGTCAAATAGGCATTAAAATGAAAAACCAAAATATGAAGCATATATATAGCGATCCCGGGGTTTACCCTTGTTGTATAGTGATCCAGACTTGTGTCTGTAGATGTTGGTAGTTGACTATTATCTTGTTTGCATCCTCTTTACTTCATATTTGAGTTATGGGATGTGTTGGGTGGGTTTGTTTCAGGTTGGTTGAGTTTAGAAACCAAAACTAGTTGCCCAGATTTTGACCTGTCCGCTCGAGCGGGAATTGCACCCATCCAGTATTTCCTGTGCAGTGTTGGACGCTCGAGCGTGGGATTGGCCGCTCGAGCGGGATTGTGTGAGTGCCGCTCGAGCGGGGAGTTGGAAGCTCGAGCGGAGACCTGGCT